AGTCTATAAAAAGGACCAACCAGCAAATTTACTATGTACCGGATCGTCTAGAATAGACGATACTGTGCAGATAAAAACTAGACTCTGATCCTACAACATCTTTTAGCAGAGAAATAACTGGTAGTTTGGTAGAAATGCACAACGATGGTTTCATCGATGAAAAGACTCTAGAATATTTGAAACCAGAAAATCCAAAACCGGGCAGATTTTATCTTTTACCTAAAATTCATAAGGCCAACAACCCAGGAAGACCTATAGTTTCAGCGAACGGTCATCCGACGGAAAAAATATCGGAATTCGTTGTCTTCCATCTTCGTCAACATGTTGAGGACTTACCATCTCACATCAAAGATACTACCGATTATCTTAGAAAATTGCAGGCCTTAAATCCACTCCCCTCCGACACGACACTTGTCTCTATGGACGTCACCTCCCTCTACACGAATATTCCACATGCAGATGGCATTGATGCATGTAAAGAAGTTTGGAATTCCCGACCAGTGAAATATCCACCTACTGAATGCCTGGTCAAAATGCTCACGCTGGTACTCAAAAACAACAACTTCACTTTTGATGGAGACCATTATCTGCAAGTTAATGGAACTGCTATGGGCACCAAAATGGCTCCATCATATGCCAACATATTTATGGGCAAATTAGAAAAACAACTCCTTGAATCTTCCATCGAAAAACCGCTTTCCTGGTTTAGATTTATAGATGATGTGGATATGAAATGGAATAAAAGTGACGAGGATTTAGATACATTCATCACTCATGCCAACAACATACACCCAAGTATCAGATTTACTCATGAGAAATCTAAATCCAAAATCACCTTCCTCGATACCTCCAGCTCGCTCACAGATGGCATCATATCCACTGATCTATATTCTAAGCCTACTGACACTCACCAATATCTGTCCCCTAAAAGTTGCCATCCTGCTCATTGTACTAAGAGCATCCCGTACAGTCAGGCACTCAGAGTCAAGCGAATATGTTCCAACTCAGAAACAACTAAAAAACAACTACGTCAACTCGAAACCCGCTTGAAGAGAAGGGGCTACAAACACAAAACTATCCAAAAAGGCTTTCAGAAAGCGGAAACTATTCCAAGGAGTAAACTGTTAGAATACAAATATAAAAAGAAAAATAAAAGGACTCCATGTGTTCTTACTTACCACCCATCTCTCAAAAACAGCTTCGGTGTCATTCGTGAGCATTGGAAAACAGTTGAAAAGAATTCCAAACTATCCAAGATTTTTCCCGAGCCTCCCATGATAGCTTTTAGGCAACCCAATAGTCTGCGTAACCTGCTAGTGCGGGCTGAAGTGTCTGATAATAGAAGTACTTCTGGAGAATGTCGTTCGTGTGATGAAAAACGCTGCAAATGCTGCCTACAGATGCATCACTCATCAACTTTTCACAGTAAGGCAACCGAAAATAACTATAAGATATTTTGCAATGTTAACTGCAAAAGTATGAATGTTATTTACATTCTAGAATGTTCGGTTTGTGGCCTCCAATATGTTGGTGAGTCAAAGCAGCCTTTCCACAAACGCCTCAATGGCCATAGGAGTGATATCTCTAAGAAGCCACTTCTCCCAGTTTCTCAGCATTTCAGACAGTCTGGTCACACACTTGATGACTTTAACCGCATGAAGATCCTAGTGATTGAACAGAACATTCACTGGAATGATGCCCAGCGACAGGTTCGGGAAAGCTTTTGGATAAAGGAACTAAATGTACATCATCCAAACGGCATCAATAAAAAATATTAAGTTTTATTTTTCACTCATTTTGGGTTGTAAATATACACAGTCACGTATATTTGAGTATTGAGTTTTGTTTTATATTATGATGTTTAGGATTTTGGATTAAATCAATAGACCAAAACTTACCTGTATTATTGAGCTATTTTTATACATATTATCAGTATTGTTAAAATAATTGACACCGAAGAAGGCTATTTGTTAAGCCGAAATATTTGTCAACACGATTTATTAACAACATCTTCGTATAATACCATCTTATATTAGTATCGTTGTGCAAATCTCTAGACTTATATATATATATATATATATATATATATATATAGAAGTCTATAAAAAGGACCAACCAGCAAATTCAATATGTACCTGATCGTCTAGAACAGACGATGCTGTGCAGATAAGGAATTTAAACATTATATAAGTCCAAAGATTTGCACAACGATACTAATTAATATAAGATGGTTATATACAAAGAGAGATGATGTTATAAAATCGTGTTGACTAATATTTCTGCTTAACAAATAGCCTTCGTCAGTGTCAATAATTTTTACAATACTAATTGTTTGTGTAAAATAGCTCAATAATACAGGTAAGTTTTGTCTATTGATTTAATCCCAAATCTTGAACCTCTCCAAATAAAACAAAACTCAATACTCTATAGACGTGCCTGCGTATATATACATCCCATATTGTCAAAATGCAGTAGTATGTAAGAATGTGTGTAAAATAAAAGAAGAGTCTCTCTATAAAACTGCTAGTATTTCTTATTGATGCCGTACTAAAACAGTGGAAAACGGGGAGTGATTGGTCGAGAAATGAAAGTTAACCTTCTGCAACGGTTTTTTTTTTAGAATCTACAACAGGTTTTTTTTGTATGATAGAGCATGGCTTTCTCTTAATACACACGGGTCCGCAGACAGACTCTTCGTATTATAATATTTCGGTAAACGAGGAATTCATGAGAGATAAAAGATAAAATATCAACCCATCGTTATCATGGTTATGTCCACATGCAGACAATAAAAGAGGACGATCTTTCATTTAGTATGCAACTGTAACTAAGGACATACATAGACAATAAAGAATGCAAATTTATCTATCAAAAAAATCAACTTCTCATAACAATTGCACATCTGAAGATTTTAACTAGCCATCACGCGTCATATAGACCATCGCACATAATCGAACGGACCATCGCACTTCGGTGCAGACCATTGCACATCACCGAGAGGACCATATTGCAGTTCGGCACAGACCATCGCACTTGAGGGTGACCATCACACTTCAGCGTCCCCATCGCACCTCCGAGTCCTAAATATATTTATATTTCATTTCGAAGATCTGTAAAATTAACAATTCAATGTTGTTCACATTTACACCATGTGAAGGCCACTTGCTTTCATTTCTTTTAAAATTTTCAAAAAGCAGCATTCGATTGTCTAATATGTGCAATCAATATTGTCTCCAAAATTTGTACTATACAAAGACATTTATCATCTATCGTCCTGAACATGCATGACATATTTGCCTTTGGACGTTAAGGAAACAACAATCAAATAATCTATCATCTATATAGCGGAACTTCTAGTAGTAATTGTTTAAATTTAAGGCTAAAAGGGTCTGATGCAAAGTTAAACTATTTTAGGATTTCGTAATCTTTTTCGAATGGTGTTGATGGATGATGCATCTGTGTGCAGCACTAGTCACCACACGAGCGGCATTCTCCAGAGACAATACTCATTTAAGAGATTCCAACGCGAATAACTCCTCAGAATTTATACCACTGACGGACACTATCCCATTATTGCTTTTAGGCAACCATATGTTTCCTAAATTTCGATACGTTTGGATTGTTGATTGAGAGAACACGATCATCTTATCTATATTTGAATTAAATGAACTAGGTTTTTTGATCTTCTTATTCTTTATCTAATCGTGGAGAAATGCCGTATCGTTTGAGAGACTAAAGTAAATAAGTGTGAAAAGTGCATAATATAAATGTTGTACTTTTTTTTTCACGCATGACAAAAATATTATCGAAGTTCAGCCTTAGCATGCTGATGACTTGGATTTTATTGCTGCTAGTTTTCCTTTTGATTTCCTTATTGTAACAAATAGTTTAAAGTGACTGATTCGAATATAAACTCAGACTCGTGCTCTACGACCTCCTATTGAGGTTGATAAGTTTTAACCCGAAACCAGACACGAACTTTCACTTGACCACCAATTTGTAATCGGAATTAAAACTATATATCGAGCACGAATATCAAACTTTAGTATGAGGTTTAGACAGACTCCAAAGAATGTGCTATTTTGATTTTCTATTCCTATTCCTTTATCTTTGTTATAAATGACGGGCAAACCACTGAATAAACATGTAATGTGAATTGAAATTTACATTATACGAGCTTCTTATACTATGTTCCTAATTTTGTCATTTTTTTTAAAGGGAGACGGATTTATATAAGTTATTCTTGCTTCCGAATCCCAGAATTTATATTGTATAATTGTATATTGTGCACTTTTGAAAATAAAATATTATTTAAACTAAATGACGACAAGAAAAAAGCAAGTATCATTTTTATACAAAGAGGACGATAAGGTTGCTTATGATTACACTTGGAAATTCGTCTTGAATATTTATATATAAGTCTAAATATACGTATTAGCAAAAATACTCAACTCCAAGGTAAATTCAAAAAGGAGGAAGTCCATAAAACCGGACAAAACCAAACGTTTGACCATATCAACCGACGGAACATCTGGAAATTTTAATGGTACAGGCATTTTCCGAACAAAATAATGAGTTAAACCTGGTTTTAAACCAGGCTAGCTAAACCTCTATGACCGTTATTTATAGTTCCGTTATATTGACAAAATTGTGTGAGCAACCCAAACAGACATTTTTCATTATCAAAACTGGAAAATGATTTATAAAAAGTAGCACAATATAATACTTACGTTTGATAAAAAAAATGAATTGTAAATAAACTAGAAAATAATCTATAAAAATTAGCACAATATAATACATTTACGTTTGATAAAAGAAATGAATTGTAAAATACTAGCTGCAACTTAAATAAGAAACTCCTATATATGTTTTATAATATTTTAATCCCTTTGCATATTTTACTGTTTAAGTGAGAAGAGTTTCCCCTTGCATAGACCTCATCTGTGTATCAGCCTATTGATTACTCATCAGTATAAAATGTTTAGTAGATCACAGCACACTATTATTTTATATATTACTTTATACTGCATTGATCGTGTTTTGAAGGGTTATACGACAAACAAAGGTAAAGAAGTTTCTTATTATCATCTAACGGTTTTCTAAAATAATCATAGTTACTGTAAAGTAAATCAACAATAAAATGAAATGAAATGATTTTTAGAAATGAGACATTTTTATGTAGTTATACCGATGTCCTAGTATTAGATACAATACAAAGGTAACAAAGAAACAGGCCGGTAACAACCGTTGCCGGATAGTTTTTCTGCACGAGTAGTCAGGTCAAGGTCCGAGGCCTGACTAAAAGTGCAGACAAACTATACGGCAGGTTGTTTCCGGCCTGTTTTTAGTTACCTTTGTTTTGTATCTGACTTGTACGACGTTTCAAGAAGGAAGAAGTACATTTTGCATTTAGTAGAGGTAGCAAAACTAAAGATATTAGAAACTTAAATGGCCATATACCAGTTAATGTAAGTTACAGTTTAAACTCAATTTTTTTTCTCACTTCCCTTCAGCCGAGAGTTTTTTTTCTCCAAAAATTCAAGAATCTAATAACTTTATAAAAAGAACCATTTCAAGTTAAAGGTGAATGTTATACACATTTGAGAATTTTTGAAATGCAACTTCGCAAGTAGGTAATGTATAAAAAAAGATTTCAGAGGTAAGCAAGCTACCATTTGATTTTTATTGGGGGAAAAGGGGGGGTTAAAATAAATTTAAAATAAACAGTCTTCATCCTTTTTTTGTTGAAAGAATGCAGGATGTGCCATTCCAGACCCCCCCCCCCCCCCCCCAATTCCCCCTAAAAAATTCGTAAAAATCGTACGTTTGCCGCCAAATATATGAATTCAATATATATGAATTCAATAACAATATAAGTGTGTCAAAAGAAAGAATTTCCTATCTCATTAGTGAATGAAATGTTATGAAAAAATGGATTTTGTCTTGTTATTAGATACATATAGGCATATATTTTGGATTAAAAATCATGCTTATAGGTTTTTATATGTCTCTGATAGTGTTGATCAGGATTAAACATGTGTCATTATATGATCCAATCAGAGCTTACCGTCCAAAATTGATGACATAAGTTGAATGATTTTCTTCCAGATTTGCTGCCTATTTGAACATGTATTACACGGACTCTTTTTATTTATAGGATCAATCGTGCATTGGTGAGTTGATAGGGATTTTATCTTTTGATTATATTTGATTTTTTTATATATATTTCCTGTCTTTTTTATTGAAGTATAAACGTTGGTACCAGCATTTCTTTCAGCATTGTCCAGAATACTATTCATGTCCATATATTGAAAAAAACAAACATTTACGGACCGACCATTTAGCTTCCAAAGGGGGTGTGTTCTTTTCTGAGTAAGAAATTTTTTTAGTTTTTCAACTATATAATATATTATATATTTTTTCTCATAAAATTGGGGATCAAAATGTTTTTTTAGGAAAAAACCATAACCCACCTTTCGAAGTTAAATGGTCAATCCCTTAGTGTACTTATATGAATAGTTACTGGAATTGTTTGAAAAAAATATAGTTATTGATGCTAACGTAAATATTTTAATTAAAAAGACAGGAAATATGTCGGTGAAACAAAAAGTTCAAATCTAATTATAATTTAAAGTGCCCATGAACTCACTGATCATGCACGAGTGATTCTATTTATAAAAAGTGTCCGTGTAACAAGTATATGTAAGAGAATGATAATCCCTTTCTGTAATAGTTATACACCGAGGGATAGGTGTGTCTGGATAAGAAACCCCGTCGGCCGGAGGCCGGAGGGGTTTCTTATCCAGACACGCCGTATCCCGAGGTGTATAACTAACTTACACCCCATTCTAAACCCATTATTTGTTAACATTGATTATTAAATGAAAAAAAAACCGATAGCATATTTATTGACAATATCAAACCATGATTTATAAGAATTTTTTTTTTATTACATGAAACCCCACTAGTAACCTTTCTTAGGGTATCTTTGTTCAAACTTTGACAAGTGAGTATATTTCACAAATGTCAAAGTTGTTTTGCATATTCCCGTTAAATCCATGTGCTAAAATGGATCAGCGGGTCAAGGTTGACCGTTTCGTGTATTCTTATTACAAACAAAAAATACATCATGCTCCTTGTATGCAGTTGTCAATATGGACGGGTATAAGACGGACGACATTTTGTGGCAAGCGTTTGATTTGGTAGAAGAGACTTAAGATAAAGGCTATATTATAACCCAAAGTACTTACCTGTATCAGTGTAATAAAGGTAATCATAACTGTATTTTATATCTTACGGTTTTATAACCACCCCCCCCCCCCCCCCCCTCTTCTCAAAATAAACAAACATTCATATTCGGACATACTAAGGGATAGATGTGACCCGACTATCAGACACGCTCAACATACAAAGATACAGATTTAATATTTAGGAACTCCCTTTTTGGGGGCAAACAGGGGCTGATCCAGCTTGGGGTTCCCAACTCAAGAGAAAAAAAGGGGGGGTCCAACCATTCAAATGCATTGATCTTTTAAATAAAAGTCGGGTCCAAACCGCGGAACCCCCACCCCCAGATCGGCCAATGGGTAACCGGGGGAAGGGGGGGGGGTCCCGGGAGTTAGAATCCCCATTTTTTTTAAAAGACCAATGCTTTAGAATAGAGACATATGACTGGGATAAAAAAGATTACCTTCAAGCAAAGGAGTATTGAAAGGATTATTTTTGTATTTAAAATAGATGCTTAATTTTTTTTCGCAATTGGAATTTCCTAAAATGTGTTTTTTTAATATCTTGAAACAATTTGTAGTGAACACTATTAGTAGTTTCTTATGTTCATGCTATTTAAAAAAAATCAATTTCTATTGTTACGAATAACAATGGACTTTGTTTGCGGGATGTAGAAGCAGGGGTTTCCAGAAACCCCGCTCGTCACACCCTGTGGTCAAAATCCTTTGTTATTCGTAACAATAGATCTATTCAATTTACACTTGTTTCAGAAATAGAAACTATGAAGTATAACAATAGAACTGGGGTGTAATCATGAATAAGTACGAACGTTAGCGAGTACTTATCATGAAGTAAGGGATTATCATTCTCTTACAAACTTAGAATATTGTAAAGTGCTCAAGGCTCAAATGATCTATTCAAGAATTGGTTTCATTGTCAGTGCAATGTATATAATTGATGCATGACTTCCTTTTTCGGCATGTCATTTATGGTTAAGTTTTAGTGATGTGAGGACTTTCTTATCATTTGGGAAATATTTTTTAAAAAAATGCGTGATAGATATTAGGTGACACAACAGTAGAAAGAAAAGGTAGGAATTGTATGTTTCCTGATTGTGAGTATGAATGTAAATCATGTAATATTTTAGTGAGGAATTATCCTTTTTTATTTACAGTTTAAATCAATTAATACATTTGAGTTACAACTAAATTTTATTTCACAGCCAATAATTTGGTCCGGCTTTTTACATCAAATACTGTTTCATTATGTCAGGGAAATGTTCAAAAATAATGCCCTTAAAAGTTTTTAATATGTTCAAAATTAAATTCCTGTTTTTTTTTATCGGAATGCATGTATTGGAAATAACTATTCTCCTCAACCGTTGATCAAGTAACTAAAGTTTTGGAAAGCTAAAGATTTAGGTTATTTTTTATCTGAAAGATTTTTTTTTCTTTTTTTTTTTTTGCATTGCTTTGGTATTGTTTAATTTTATAGTAATTTGAAGTTATTAATATTTTCATAATAAAATTCACGGTACCAATTTTACTGCACCAGTAAACATTAACTTATTTTGAGATTTTTGTTTGTTTCATAATTCAACTTTTAGTCAGTTTCAATCACTGTGTGATAAATCCTTTCAATCTGATAAATGTGCTTCGGGGCAGTTGTAACTCACTTATAGAAACTCTTTGTTTTGAACTGTAAATAGACCCAAATAATAGGATAATCCCTTACTAAGAACATGATTTACATTCATTCTTCACAATTAAGAGGCATCCAATTCTACAATTTCATTGGTCGAGAGTACTTTGCTATATTCTAACTAAAAAGTGTCCGTGTATCATCTAAAAAGTGTCCGTGTAACACCCGTTAATGTACTGTTTTTCTATAGCTCTGCTCGGGGCAAAGTCGTACAACTAAGGTTATTCAACTTTTTTTTAAAGTGTTATCTTCCATATTGAAAATATCTTTTATTTTGTATGGAGAGCGGATTTGCCTTATATGATTAATGGACTAAATATGAATATATAAGTGGAGTTTTAAAGAGATATTGAAAGTAAAAGTATATTCTGTAATTTTATTTAAGGAAGTTATTTTATCGTTTGAACAAAAAGGAAACGGAAGTTCAAAGATCGTTTACAAATAATTTTGTAGCGTTTCTAGGAATCTGTCAATTTAGAAATGTAAGAATCTCCATTCCAAAATATCAGAAGAGGCGAATTTAGGGAATAACTTTATTTTCTATTTCTTGACTGGTGATAATATTGTTTTCTACATAACCATGCCAAGGAATATGTAAGATCTTTTATGAATTGGATTTTCTCCTGTTTACAGGTAGAAATTAGATCGTTTTATGATACGATTAGCTTGAAAATGGTACAAACATTACACTTGTAACTTGTAATATATGTTACTCGAGAACTCTAATTGTTGCTGTATATTATCTCATGATTTAAAAACAAAATGGGTAAGCTACAAAAAGGAAAAAAATGCCAATTAAAGGCATTAAACGCTAAAAGTAAATAGTGAAATAAATGTTTATTTGACCTTTTATATATTTATCAGGATAATAACAAGAAATGACTAGATAGAACATAACATTGTGTGTCCACTGTTACAACTGCAGTAGTTAGAAATCGTCGTGTTTATTGTAATCTCTCGTAAAAAAACAAACATCTTTTAGGTAAAATGGCGGCGGCAAACTATTCTAACCCCGCCACATTCAATATGTGCCTGTCCCAAGTCAGGAGCCTGTAATTCAGTGGTTGTCGTTTGTTGCTGTATATCATATTTGTTTTTCGTTGATTGTTTTGTACATTAATCAGGCCGTGAGTTTTC